ACACACACACACACACACACACACACACACACACACACACACACGAAACCAAGAAACCTGCAAAATTCCTCTAGCAACATAGGTGGGAAGAGCTGGAATTCAAATTGGGAGAGGCTTGGGAGAGCCCGACTCTCTCTGAGCCTGTCTGAGAGGAGACGCACATGTCCACGCCACGTGTCCCCGCAGACCGCTCGCTCTGTCCTCCAGCACAGCTTGGAGGAGTTTGTTGATACAGGTTTCCAGGCCCTACTAGAACCCTGAACTTTGTATTCTGTAAGGAGGCAGAACACTACACAGCCCCGAAACTACAACATCCGGATCCTGAACGCACTAACCCCCGAGTGATCGGCTGCCTGCCTCGAGAGTAGTCTCACCCACCCAAACTAGGGCTAAGCTTCCCACCATGTCTGACTTCCAATGAGCTGTCCTCTGGAACTGTCATTGCAGAGTTTCAGGGGAAAAAAAAGTTAGTGTTTTACCTCCAGGGAGCTGAGCTCAGACCACGTGATATTGGGCACGGAGGTGACAGGTGTGAAGAGTTTACTTGGAAAGAATGTATTGTAATGTCCTGTGGCTGAGAGGTACAGTGACAGTGCCATGTTGAAGGGGAGAGTGAAGACAGGCAGGTCCCACTTGCTGAGCACGGAGCTCAACGCACTTGAGAAAACCGGGCTAAAGGAACAAAACCAGAGAACAAGAATCAGCAGCCAGCTGAGCCCCCTCCCTCGGCCTCTCCATGGGGATGGAGAATCTGTTGCAGTTGCTAACATGCTCTGAAATTTGGCTAGCCAACCTTCCACAGTGGTGCGGGAGAGGGTGTTGGGGGGGCCAGGGCAGGTGAGGGGAGGTGTGGGGTGGGTGTGACGTAGGGGGGAATGGGAGATGGGGGAGGGGGGACCTGTTTTAATCCCATCACAGAGACAACTCTAAATCACACCGCAAGATCAGCTCTTAGTTGGTTTTTGAAAACAAAAACCAAAAAAAAAAAAAAAAAAAAAAAAAAAAAAAAAAAAAAAAAAAAAAGTGAGGTGGCTCGGAGTGAGTATAATCACGGTTTAAAAAATAGGTTTGGAGCTCTTAATAAGGTGAAATCTTATCTACATAGTTAATGCCGAGAAATCTCCTTCCTCCCCACCACTGCCACACCACCGTCCTGAATCCGGGAGACATCACTCTGCCTGTCTTCTATAAATGTATCTGTTTTGGAGAAGAAAAGAACTAAGGATTCAGGTGGTACGAGCTTGGAAAAAAGGGTCTTATAAAGTGTCTTTGAGCCATTGGCTTGTGACCCCAGACACTACCACTTCCTCATTCCTTGGTGTGCAAACTTAGGCTTGCTTTGGACAGTGCAACAGTTTCCTGGACCCTGTGTCACTCTTGCTTGTTGACCCAATGGAGAAGCCTCATTGTAAGATCAGAACAGGCCCTCTAGTTGGGGAGTGTCCCTGCCCCATTCAGAGCCATTCCCAACTGCCTGGGGGAGGATGGTTCTATGGGCAGGACCTCAGTACACCCACAGGTGCAAGCAGAGCGGGGTCCTCCTGCAGGCGGTGCCTGTGGTGGGCTCACGTTCCTTTGTGAGCATGTTGGTACTTTATACTTTAGATATGATATGGAAGACAAATCCAGGTTTTGAAGCGATGGGATTAAATTTAGGAAAAAAAATAAAAAGGAGGTGGGTAGCTCCTTTAAGGCGATTCCACTGATGGGGTGGGGGTGGGGGACAGGCTCAGCTATACTTTAGAACCACCTAGGGAGATTTAAAAAACGAAACATTTAGGCAACAGCCCAGAGCAGTTGTGTGTGCTAAGCGTGCTTCATTCCCCTGGATGAAGGGGACACGCAGCGGACTTTGACATAAGGACAAATAACTGGCTGTAAGGAAATCCAGACCTCTTAAGGCAGTTGCTTTAGTTTCTATAAGGCAGAACCTAGTTCTAATTCCTTTAACTATTTTTTTTAAATTTGTGGTAAAAGACACATAACATAAAAATTGCCATTTATTATTATGTTGTTGTTTTGTCTCTGTAGACAGATCAGCCTAGAAGCCCAGGCTGGCCTCATGCTTACAGCACTCCTCTTCACTTACCCTCCAAAATGCAGGGATTATAGATGCCACCACAGCTGGCACCATTTAACCATGTTCATTTCATTTTCCGTCTAGTTCGTGTTTGTGGGGCTGAGCATGCATGTGTGGCCGATGTAGAGGAGCATGCATGGAGGTCAGAGGAAAACCTGGGGGTCGGTTTTCTCCTACCACGTGGGTTCCTGGATAACACTGGTGTCTCTATCTGACAAATCAACTTGCCAGCCCACTTAACTATTTTAAAGCGTGAAGTTCAAGGACACATTCATGGTGTTACACAACTGCCATTGACTCAGAGAATAGTCTTCACCTGGCAAAGGTATGCTCATTAAACACTGGCTCCTCATCCCCTCCATGCTCCACAGGCACCTTGAGAACCAGCTAGAACTTACCAAGTCATAGACATAGCTGAAACAGGGAATATCAGCCACCAGAAATAGTCGCCCTTGTCTGAGAAGACAGCCATGAGTATTCCCACCAGCGTGGCATTGTAGCCCTGGAGCCCAGCAGCTATCGCTGACCTGCAGGCAGGAGGGACAGCACAAACGTTGCCTGGGTGGACATACTTAGGAGCGAGCACAAACAACAGCTGTAACTTCTAGATCCCCTTTAGAATGCAAGCATACCTGGGCATGTGTCTCTAGGCCTTTTAGGAACCACATAGATTCAACTAAATTGCACAGTGAAATATCATAGATAAAACTCTGAAATGTGTTCACGGAACAGCTCTCTCCAAGGAATGTCACCAGCCACAGGAAGGATGGCATCTGGCGAGGGAGAGGGGCCTGTGCAAGGTAATCTACTCTTTGTTCAGCCTTCGCTGAGAAAATTCTTCTTTCTTTAGAATCGTTAAGGATTTGACTGGAACAGGGCTTTCAGTGGTTTGAAACAGTGTTACCTCTGATTCCTCAGTGAGAGACATACAATTTCTGGAAGGCAAATCTATTCAGTGTCTTCAGAAACAGCCAACTTCAACTTAGGGTACATTTCCACGTTCTTATGGTTCTACTCTGCTCTCTCTAACGTACATCTCCAGTTATTGCAGAGGAAAATGAAGATTTTGACTTGGCCAGGCACCTATTTAATTACGTGCACACTCAGGTCCACTTGTTGAAACCCCTCTGTGATGGTAGTCAGCCTGTCGCCCTGTTTTTGTCTAGAGAACCCTGACCAATGCACCCACCTTGTCCTTGGCATTTAGCTTCACTCCCAAAGCCTGTCTTATATGTCAGCTTCTACCCTGGCTGGACTAGAATCTACGTCAGGAACTATACCGGAGCTAGAAACCTAGGAGAGCAAGGGGAACATTTCTGTAGAAGAATCCCCTAGTCTGGCAAGCTCCCCATTTGGACATAGATGGTGTCATGAAGAATGACAGAGTTCGCTCCTAGCCTGACCCTTACAGGCATTGACAGTGGGGACCTGTGAGGTAAGGAGGGTGACATGAGATGGTTAGGTCAAGCGCAGGGCCTGAGGGAAGGGGCTGCAGCCAGTGAGCACGCTGCAGCTGGTGTGAGGGTTTTGGCTTTTTATCTGCCTGCGTGCCAAGGCTCAGGTGCAGCCAACAAGCTGCTGTCATATCTCTTCACTGGGCTGAGGACATCAGGGGTTGGACTCTAGGATCAAAGCCCTTTGTCTTTCTTCAGCAATCCCCCAGAAATTGAAGTTACACATGACGACTGTGGAGGGCTCTGTAGACTGCCTCCCCCAATACTGTTTGTCAGTGGCTAATGAATGGCAAGATCTACAAATCAAGAGGTGGATGCCATAGTTCCAGTCGCAGGAAGAACTGGTCACTTAGCTGGAATTGTAATTTTTACATTTCTTTCCTTTTATTTCTTTTTAGAACTACGAGAAAGTAAGCAAAAGTTGAGCAGTAACACATGCAAATATTTTTAAAAGATGACTTGTCGTCTAAATACTAAGAATTACCAAGAAAAGGAGGAGCCCCATACCAGGGATGAAATGCAGGCCCTTGTACATTCCAGACAAGTGCTCTACCACCGAACTGCACACCTAGCCCATAACCATGCTTCATAGCATCAAAACCAATGAGGGGCTAATCCTATGAGGTGGCTTCTCATCAGCGCAGGAGCTGTGCTGGCTTTTGCATTGCCTATGAAAGGAGATAGCATGCTAAACTAAAGATGAACGCAGGATATAAAGGAGGTTGCTAAGCCTCTAAGTCTTTCCAAGAACCCAGAAGCGTTTTGCTTAACGTTGTAATAAACAATTCTATCACTAACGGAGACTCCAGTAGTCTCCCTCCTGGTGATACAGGAGCTCTGGTTTCCATACACAGCGGGCAGGACCCAGACTGGCCCCTTATCAGACGAGAAGAATAAGAGACTATCTGTGATTCTCTGGCCTCTTACTAAAGGCAAATAGAGGGCTTTGTGGAATAAAGGTTGTTTTTGCCTGGGAAGGTGTGGCTTTATCATGGCTGCCCATGGCCGCTGCCCAGCTAGTGTCTCAGAAAGAGTGAAGGCTGGCATGTGAGGCTTTGCCTACCTGTCTTGGCTAAGCAAGAGGGCGGTCAGAGTGGAGACCACAGTTCCTACAGAGCCACAGAGAGCCCACCATGGGTTTTGGACCAGAAGTCCCACCAGAATCAGGATTCCACTGATGGGGTTGCTCACGAACACCACCTGGGATATGCCACGAAGAATCCAGTCCACGAACTGCAGAACCACAGGCTTGTCTGGAGAGAAGAGGTGAGCAGAGTTAAAGAAGAGATGGGATAACTGCAAAGTCCGCCCTGGTGACGTAGGAGGTGAAACTTTCAGACGTGTTTTGAAGCCTTCCTTTGACCCCTTAGTTTGTTTAGTAAGTCCACACTGCCCCTACTGGGATCCAAGCTTCAGGAAACGGCTCATGCACCTGTTTCTCATGCTCAGAGGTACAGACAAGCCAAAGGAATGAATTATCAGCAGTCAAACTTTCTTTGTTAAGTACTGAGATTCTCCTTTCATTTTATATGAAAGGGTCCTGCCCCCGGCCTAGTATTTCCATGAAAAAGATGTGAAGAGGCTTGCAAGACCGAAGATGCAAAACAGAAAACTAAAAAGTGAGGCCTGGGGAATAGAGCTAAATGCTTAGGTAGAAACACAGACAAAGACCCTCCTCAAAGCTGCTTCCCCTAACCCTTCAAGGAATGGATGTTTACATACCTTTAAGCCAGTTGGCAAACTCTTTCATATCACCGGTGACACAGCCAAACACTCGGAAGCCACACCTTCTCCCCCGACATGATGAAATCTCATTTTCACCCCGGTCTACTTTAACCATGGCGGGACTGTCTTCCATGGCCAACTCTTCCTCTGGCTCCTTGAGGGAAGGACAGGGTTTGTAAGCGTCCTGAACCAGAACTCTGTGGTTGGCTAGCTTAGGCGGCTATCGGTGCCATAGCAGCCACCATGACCAGTGAAGCAACCACCTGGACCAATCAACCCTCCTGATTCTGTGACCCGCTGACATAGCTCCTTGTGTTGTGTTGATCTCCAGCCCATAAATTTATTTTGTTGCTGCTTCATAACTGTAATTTTGCTACTGTTGTGAATCATAATGTAGATATCTGTGTTTTCTGATGGTCTTAGGTGACCCCTGTGAAAGGGTCGTTTGACCTCCAAAGTGGTCACGACTCACATGTTAAGAACCACTGTTATAGACTATGAGTGTCATGGGTCTGTGAATGCAGTCACTCCTCCTGGAGTATCACTGAGGAACTCATTATCCAGACCCAAGCACCACACAACCTTTGTCCTCGATGTCTTTAATGCTACCACGAGAAGTTTCCTGTCTATACCCTCATAAGGCTCAGTTTCTAGTCTGACAAATACATGCACTCAAAAGAACTTAGTGTTCTCTGCACTCAAAGAACTTAGTGTTAAGAAGGAAGAAAAACAGTTAACATCAACATAACAAGTCAAATAAAAAAGAAAAAGCTAAAGTAAGTAACCTTAAAGTTTATATTTTTTCTTTTTTTCACAAAATAGTAGTTGTAAGCAGGAGTGGTAGCAAATACCTGTGATGCTAGCCCTTAAGAGTCAAAAGTGGGAGGATCAGAAGTTCAAGGCCATTCTAAGCAACATAGTTCAAGCACAACCTGGGTTACATGAGATTCTGCCTTAGAGAAGCAAAACACCAACATTAAAACAAAACAAAACACATCCAAACTACTGCTTTTATTTAAGAATTCTTTGAAAATGAAGAGATTTTTAAAATAGTCTGTGTGTGTTGACAGCCTAACAATCCCTGGGCCCTGGTCTCCAAGAACAAGATTGCTTGAATTCATTCTTATGTCATACAGTTGCCTCAGATATTCTATAACTTGGAAACTGTCATGTAAATGCATAAAAAAAAAAGCAAGAAAGATACACCACAGAGGTGTAGAACAGTGTTTCTTAACCTGTGGTTCATGACCTCTGACCTTTGTAACTGAGAAAGGTGGAAATGGACAATGCTGTCAGAAGCCAAAGAGTGTGATGCAAATATTGCATAGTGCAAGACTGCACAGGGTTTTACTATAGCCGGAATGTCGTGACAGAATTCAAACACTATAACGATAATGTGTGTTGACTACAGGGCTGGCTAACTCTCATGGTAAGTGTGTAACAGGAGAGAACTAACATCCCTGAATTTGGAACACTTCAACACAATGTGAAGGTTTGTTTCATGGTGCTGCACAGATGTAAGGGCTCCCAAAGATGTACTGCTAGAGGTAGACACTGGGACAAAGACAACAGCCGAGTCACCCTGGTTGAAAGAAAAGGCTCAGAGCATAGAAAGGTGAGTAGGAAGAGGGCAGCTCCGTCATCAGCCTTAGAAGGCTTCAGCGGAGACTGTCATGAAAGGCAAGACCCAGGAAATGCCCAAAGCTGCATGGATAAGCCAGCTCATCTCTCCTCACAGCAAGGCTATGGACTTGAGTTCCTCCTTAAATTCTGGCTGCTTCTGGTCCCATCATTGCTCTATTTACCACATCCAAAAGCTAGCTATTAACGGCTAATAAAACTATGTCTTCTAAAAACACCTGGACTCTAGTTTTGACTTACGTTAACCCTAGTAGAGCAATCAATGTTTTATTACTGATTTATTACTATACAACAGTTTTACTTCTCACTATAGCATAGGCTGACCTTGAACTTGCTATGATCCTCCTGCCTCTGCCACCCAAGTGCTGGGATTACAGGTATGTGCAACCACGCCTGGCTATCATTCCGGTTTTTAAGCCATGGTATACCATTAATCATCTCACAGAGTTGGAGCTATTTCTACAATGCATTCCAGACCGAGGTCATTCTATCTTGGCAACCTTCTATCTGACACCAATATTTGCGAGTCTTTCAGTGAATCTTTGTGTTGGGATTTTTTTTCTGGAGGCATGGAACCTAAACCAAGCCCAAATAACTCAGTTTGCTTTCCTTCGTACTTAAAATTCACAAATCTGTTTAACTAACCTGGTGTATGAAAAATTTTTATTTCCTAAGAATATAAATAAATAAATAAATAAATAAATAAATAAATGAATAAATAAAACTTTTATTTTATAATCCAAGCAATGGCTATCACTTATTTCTGACTTTTCCCTCTTCAGATCTCATAACTGCATATGCAAATATATATAGTTAGCCCCTTCCTCAGTGACAGAGATCCATTTTCAAAGACACGCCAAGTTAACAAAGAGGCCAGGCTTGAGTCTAGAACATAACAAGAAGAAGCTCAAAGGACAATTGTCCTGAGTTGCTGTAACCGAATGTGCCGAGCCCTGAAAGTGGCAGTTTCCATCACAGATTTTGACTCCAGAATACACAAGTGCATGTTCTCAAAACTTCCAGCTTGTATTTATTTTAGAGAGTTTCGAATACCATGCCACCCTAGAGATTCGAAACCTGATAGTATGACTGGCCAGACATGACTGGGAACCTGAATGGCCTGTGTCCCTTTGGAACCACCCCAAGTTAAGACTAAATTACCTTTGTCCAAATCAACAGCCCAACCTAGAACCATGTTTCCAATGTTCTTGTGTTGAGATTTGGGGGGAGGGATGGTAACATTGTTCCCCACTATCCCACACCGCAGAGACTGAGCAGACAGTGGCTACATCCCAGAGGCCTCGGGGTCCATTTATTCTGAGCTGCTGATCTTCCTGTAGCTCCTGGAATCCCCAACACCTATTCGAGAACTCCAGCCTGAGAGCTGGTTAGGGAAGCCAGTAGTTTAAATCTAGTTTACTCTAGAATGTTATCATGCTAGAAAATTTGTGTCTCTTTTAGGAACTTGGATGCAGCATCCAGGAGATGACCCTGCTAGCTGATGCCATTGCGTTTCCATGGAGAGGAGAGGACAACAGAGGAAGCCTTAACCTAAGAGAAGTGGGAGAATCTTAAGGTTCCCAATTGTGCTTTCCTCATTTCTTGGAGGCTGTGTAATTGCCCTAGCTCAGTGATCCAGCCTCTAAGCCTCTGGGAGTAGCTCATGCCAAAGCACCATGCTCAGCAGAGCTTGCTTACCACCCATGCCCTCTGCTCAGAAAAGACACCAAGCTGGGAACAGGCTCTCAGGTTCCCCAAGGAACAAGCTGCTGGAAGGGAGCCTACCTGTTCTTGCCACCTGTGCGCCAGGGCCAAGCTTAGCCGTCTGAAGCCTCCTGGCGCTGCCTCACCGGCTTTATTTCCAAAAGGATCTATCCAAAGGGGACCGTGATGGGCGTCATCAGTGCCACCAATCAATGACTGTCCATTCATCCTTCCTTTTTCTCCATACATGACAAAGGGTAAAGAGATGTGAATCAGCAGGATGTGTCCTGGCTCTGGGGAGCCCAGGAAAAGGCAGACTTCTAAGGGAAGATGTTCTCTGTCCTGGGTCTCTAAAGCAGAGGGCCCCTTCATCACAGAGCTTGCAGTGGGAGGAAGGAAAGAGGACGCACTGGCTATGGAGATCAAGCTCATTTTTCTTTTCTTAAGAAATGGTGGCAAACCATGCTGAAAAGAGCACAGAGGAGAGTAGGGGCGCTGCTCTGTGTGACTGGCAGGAGGAGACCCATCTGAAACCTGCTGCAGAGAGGGAGGGCAGCTTAAGGTTCTGAAGCACTTGGGCAAGCTGTTGTGCCCTGTGTTGGGGACCAGCTGCCAGACAAAGAGTATCTCAGCCTTGTTTCTTATGAAACAGAAGAAAAGGGAGCTCCTGGGTTCCACTTCCTTCAGTAATATACAAGAGACACTCTCCACACCCAGCCAAAGCTCATTCTGGAATACTGACAAATGCCATTTCTCTTACATCTGAGTAATAATCACTAAATATTAACTGTCAGTCTGCTAACAAGAAACAATTCTTAAATTTAACAAGTGTCAGATTTTAATAATTTCCTCATTCTTCCCTCCTTTCCCTCTCATTATCCTTTCATCCCCCCCTCCCTTTCTTTCCATTGCATTCAAAAATAGTTATTCATTCAGAAGTTCTAGAATATTCTATGTGTGGTATTTTTCTCTTCCTCTTTCACTTATTTTATTTTCACATTCTTCTACTGAGTTGGTCTGAAACCTGAAAACTTTACCCAAAGCGACTTAAAGAACCCACAGTTAGGGAAAATATTTCTGACATACCTTATAGGAAAAAGTGTGTGTGTGTGTATATGTGTGTTTGTGCGTATGTGTGTACTCATGGTAAGCCATTTGGCTGGTTGTAAAGCAAGCTGACATCCCTGGTGTTTGCAATATGAACGGTTTGGGTTGGTAAGAAAGAACAACAAGCAGTCTCAAGGCAAGAATCTTATACTGTGCTAAAGGCGAGGAAAAAGGGATGAAAGCAAAAGGAAAGGGAAAAACGTAAGGGACACAAGGGGAGGGGTCCCTCAGGACAAGCGCCTACTGTTTGCCCCTTCTCTGCCTTCCTCCTTACACATCAGTCACCCGCAGATCCACTGCCGCAAGCTCAGAATCACTATTTTCTTAGAGACAGAAATAGACAGATATGTGAATGAGGTGGGCTTTAGACCACAGGGTTGAAACTTTCATGTCATAGAAAAGTGGGGCTCTGTGGTGCTAGGGGTGGGCATAGCCACACAAGCCGTAAACCCTGTGTTCTCTGTCTTCTCAGTTGGGGCCAGGCAAGTCAGTGTCACCCGGATCTCAGTGAAGCCAACAAATGACAGCAGCAGCTTCTGCATGGCAGGGTCTAAAGGGGGTGGCAGGGTACAGCAGCCTGAGTTCACTGTCACCCTGCAGTAACTCTGGAGTATGGGGTTGAACAAGAAAGAAAGGCCTCTGTGCCCTCTCTGGGATCAGTTACTACCTTTAAAAACAATGCCAGAGGTTCCTCAAAGCCAGCCTCTCCCACGCATCACTGATGTGGCTGCAAGCGAGCACCCGAGAATACTCTCCAAGTTGTGCATGGTAAGCCTCCTAGCAGGGTCTGGGAAGTGTGGCTCAGAGCCCAGATCACAGTGAAGTGGGCAGCGCTCAGTATTTTAGTCTGAGGCAAATGTGAAGGTCTCACTTCAATTGTCTTCTCTATTTTCTTGCACACAATGAAACTCATTGTATTGCAGTGTGTATTAGTGATTGGTACAATTGGAGAGACTAGAAAGTCCTCAAATTTCCATTCAGTATCGCTTTAAATAATACCAAGAGTTAGATCTGTGTTTCTTGAAAGGTTTTCGTGTTCTGTCACAATAAAAAGACTCTGCGCTGACATTTATTTGCTACTTTGTCTAATCTTTATTTTAGGTTCTTTTTGATCACAAGGGTAAAACTGCTCAGTTCTCTGTAGAGCTATAATCAGAAACAAAGAACTGCGGTCAGGTAATCCTGCCTGCCGATTCAAACACTTCCCTGGGCAGCAGACACTGCTCCTGGGAGCCTTGAACTATGTAGGGACAGAGTGCTGCAGGAAGCCACCAAATCTCCAGCTACGCTTGTGACTGATCGGAGTTCCAGATGGGCACACAGCACGCACACTCCCTTCAGCAGGACAGCACACGCACAGGAGCCCTAAGCCCATAACCGGGAAGGGCTGTTCCCAGTACTGCACATTTTCTTGTGAATCACAAAGATGCCATCTCTAGCTTTGCTTAGTTTTTCAAAAGCACACTCTGCTGAAACTTCTCATCATCTTGATTCGTCAGCGCCCTTTAGCATACAGAGTGGGCACCGTGTCCAAGCTCCCTTCCACACCAGCCCAGGGCGGTTTCCACCCTCTCCAGGAATCATAACAAAGGCATTACTTTTAATCTGGGGAGAAGACTGTGGCTTTGGTGAACAGCCTTCCAGTCCACCAGAGCTCCAACTATTCGGTTCCAACAGTCAGCGACACATTTCACTATTTAAAAGAGAGCAGAATTGGAGACAGGAAGGCAAGAGAGGCAAGAAGAGAAGGAGCAGGACCAAGACATAATCCATGCATGTATGCAATGTTGCAGGAAGTCCTTTAACTGGTATCATTAAAATAGATAACAATAATAACACTAGCAGTAATAATCATTACAACAACAACAATACTAGAAAGTATAGGATCTGGAGTCAGACACATCTAAGTTCAAACCTGTGTTCTGTCTTTAAAAAGAAAGGGGAGGGCGCAAGATTGAAGGAAAGGAGGGCCACCTCCACAAAAGCTAACTGACAATTAACAGAAACGAGGATGGTCCTTACCCTCCAGCTGGCTTCCCCACGGCAGAAGGCAGTGCCTGATAAGGAGCAGCCAGGCTCTCTCAAACAGGCCAGCGCTGTGGAGAGTTGGTGCACCAGAGGCACCTCACCCTTTTATACCCACAGTCGGCTCTTCAGGTCTGTGAACTGGCTTTCTCCTCCCACTTAAGCCACCCGCACCAGAGCAATGGGGGTGGGGCTAGGGGGTGGCCCCGCTTCAGTACCTCATGTCTCTCCCTTGCACTCTTTTCTCTTGACATGGTGCCAAGGGTTTTGTTGTGTCCTTCACAGCATAGCAGGGTCTTTACTTAGTGATAACCAAACTCAAATTCACCTTTTCTCTTCTATGCCATTTCCTAGCCTCAACCTGAAATGTTTCTGGCAAGATTTGTAACCAAGAAAAAAAGTCCACACAGTGCCATTTAAACGACAAACCACAGAGGCACAGGTTTGCAGTGAAGTGTCCTTGCGATGGAAGCTGCTTGGGGCTGACATTCCTGCCCTGATGTTAGGACAGGAAGACCCATGAGGCTGTGAGGACGAGTGGATACAAGTTATTTCTGGAAACTAGCTACCTGTTGCCCGTGCAGGAAAACCAAAACCACAAAGGTTTCTCTGTTTTTTCCTCTTTCCAGGTGAAAACCCCAGGATGGACTGCACTGCCTTTATAATGTTAACCCATAAACACCCAGAGCAGATTCTGGCATTGAAATGAAAAGTTCCTTTCTTCCCTATTCTTCTTCGATTTCAGCTTTGTGGCTTGTTCCTTTATGGTAGGAATATGGTAAAGTCGGGGGCACCTCTGTGAATACGGAATTAGGGAGAAACCCTCCCTGCTGTCAGAGGTCTTCCCTACACACGGACTGATGTGCAGATGTGCCCATTGCCCTTATCGGCCCTCCTTCAGGCGGCCAGCGCAGGGCTCTCGGGCTCCGCCCGCTGGACCCGAGCCAGACCTCTGGGCTCCTTCTCTGCAGGGGGCTGGTCAGTGCCTGGGGCTCATCCCAGGAGGGAGCCTCTGGGCCCAGATTCACTACGAGAACTTTGCAAGGCAGGCAGGTCTCTGTCACTCTCTTTTCCCTGGTAAAACAGGTAGAAAATGAACCCTTCTGGTCGCCCTGCAGCTGCTGTGGGGCAGCTTGGGAATGAAAGGACTCATTCTAGTCTTTTCTGGTGTCCGTTATGCAAATGAAGTACAATTTCTAATAATAATAACAATAATGATACACGGTAGTGATAAAAATGATAAGAATGACCTAAAAGGGGTTGAGTGTTTCCTCTGGTTGCTAGCATTGTGCTCAGCACCTGGCAGGCATGAGTCATTTAATCACCTCAAAATCCCTATATGGAATGCAGGGCTAAACACTGGTAGAGTGCTTGCCTTTCATCCATCCGGCCCTGCGTCCTAGGACTGCAAAAAAAAACACAAAAACACAAAAAAACAAACATCCCTCAAACAAACAAACAAACAAACAAACAAACAGTGCTGAATATTCTATGAAACAACAGAAAAGTAAGCAAAACCCTCCATGGTGTCATTATTCCCATTTTGCAAGTGAGGCAGCTGAAGCAACCTGTCTGAAGTCTGGACTGCAGCTGCTCAAGCACTGTCCCCTACTGCCAACCTCTGCCTTATGTTTGCTTAATCCATTCACGAAGTCAGTCATCATGATTGTGCTGTTGTCCTGACCAGAGCTGCCCCTCTCAGCACCCATACAGCCTTCTCTCTCTGGCTGTTGGCAGGTTGGGTGAGTGGAGGCAGCAAGTCTCAGGTCTTTTTGGAGATGGCCACTTTCCCCTGCACTCCCTTCCTCCCTGGCCTCTGCTCCAGCCCTGTAAAGCCGGACACACCTTAAGTGCAGGTCACAAAATGGAGCCCTGAGTCAAGCAATACAAAGGATCTGTGTTTCCAAAGCAACCAAACCTGGGTTTGAATTTGTCGCTTTGTCACCTTAGATGCGTCATCCTTTCCGAGCTGTGAAATGGGTGACTTCTATCCTTTAGCGATTGTGATGAAGGATGGTGCAGGTAAGGCTTTGCTGCTGAGGCATAGGGTATCCTGCTCTGCTTACCCATCTCTATTAGGGCTGGTGTGGTCTCCAGGATCCCTTTGGTTCTCTCTTGACCTCAGACTGGGTGAAGTCTGAGAATAATGTCAAAAAGCATCAAAGTTGCCAGGTGTGGTGGCTCCTACCTTTCATCCCAGCACTGAATAGGCAGGGGCAGGTGAATCTCTGTGAGTGTGAGGCAGCCTGCTCTACATGGTGAGTTCTAGGACAGTCAAGGATACACACACACACACACACACACACAGACCTTGTCTCAAACCTCAAACTAACACAAAAACACCCCTCCCCCCCCAAAAAAAAAAAAAACAAAACAAAAAAGGAAACTAAAGTTTTTGGAGAATAACTGGGGTTTTTATGTTCTAATCTGCAAGGTCTGTCTTCTCCAGATGCCGTGGCTTTGGGGAGAGCCCCAGCAGAAAATCAGAGACAGCTGGGAGCCACTGGGAGCCACTGGGAGCCACTGGGAGCCACCGGGAGTCTGTTGTATATTTCTGGTGTCTTAAGACAGCCCATTGAACAGCTCAATGCCTTAACTGTACTCTCTGCAATGTCTCCCAGTGCCATTGACCAGGTAGCTGAGTCTCTCCCCAGTGCTGTCCTGGCCATGCCTCCCTTACCTTCCTCTAGCCCCAATCCCATCTCTGTTTTCAAACCCACCTTCTCTCCTGCTACACGGCTACAAACACAAGCGACACAGAGCTTCCCCGCTCTCCTTTTTCCCTGGAGTTTCTGCTCCAGAAAGTTCTCTCTAGTCTCTTCCTACCCACACTCTGCCCAAATCTATTCGAATTTCTCACCGAATTCTCATGAACTTAAAACAATCTATTATCTATTCCCTGGTGGCCAGGTAAAAAACACGCATCCAGCAGCTGTTCTGGTATTGGTCTCTAAATGCTTCCTGGGTATTGTCTTCTAAGTACTTCCTGGGTGTGGCCGGACACTCCTGTAATTACAGCACTTGGGACACTGAGGCAGGGAGACTGTCAGTTTGAGGTCGCCCTGGGTTACCTAATGATACTCTATCTCAAACATTCCCACCTTTGAAATGTTGCCAAGTCCCACCTGGGCTGGAAGGGGCTGGACAAGATTGGATGCAACAGTGCTTTTTATTCGTGATTTAGTTGTCTTTCCAAAAGGATTTTGGGAAAGTTCATTAAATATATAATGTGAGAGGGGAGGAAGACTATATGAAGAAATAGGAAGAGGGCAAAACAAAATTGGCCAGGGACAGTTTAATATTTCCCTAAGATGTTAGCCATGTAGATATATTTCTAAGTACTCATTTGGTTCAGAACCTAGTCCAACACTATTTTTTCTTTTAAGTCACGGCTTGATATCCATCCTCTACAGGCAGTTAACTTTGGAAATGCTCTACATATGTAGGGGCAGTGGCCACACAGGGATTCTGCAGAGAATGCCTCTACAGGCTCTTCTGTGTCCGAGTGCCACTGTCCTGAAGGGCAGGGAAGGACATTCTCTCTCGTTCTTTCTCCCCCACCTCACAACAAGAGAAGCAAAGACTGCAATGGAATATTCCTTTGCAGCATGCTTGGATCCAAGGATATTTGGGCTTGGTAAACAGCCAGGCAAAGAGGCATCAGATGAGAGTTAAATCAATTACTGACCCAGAACACCACGTGGCTTCCCTTTGTGGAAGGTGTTCTCTAGACAAGGTGCCTTGGGGCCAGCAGGTTCACAGTGCAAAGGTTTCACCAACACCTCTAATGCCTGTCCCTGTCCCTGAGCCTGCTGGGGGAGTGTGCCAATGGCAGGGGCACTGATGTTCCTGCAGTTTTTTCTTTTTCTCCATTACAGTAGTTAGTTCCAATCAGCACAAATCAGAATAGCGAGGAGCCTCAGTTCTACTTACAGCTTTCATCAGATACAAAGTGCATTAAAATTACAACTTGGCCAGTGTTGAGTCTCTAGTGACTTTGCCTACTGCTTAAAGCTCTGAAAGTTGTACATTGTACAAAGGCACGAAGTCTAAGGGGCTATCACTAACCAACTAGCTAACTAACTATGTATATATGTATTTCTTGCAACACAATTTCTGCAGATGGCACAGACATGTCTTGAGGGGCTGCGATAACCAGCAATGTCCTGCTGATGTTTTGTTGTTGTTGTTGTTGTTAAAATGCAGTTTCCCCATCAAGAGCAAGAGGGGAAAGCGCAGGGGGAGAATGTTTTCAATCTTGTTAGACAAAGCTGAGGGAGGGATTAGGACTTTGGGAAGTGAGGGACAGGAAACAGCCCATATCTCAGCCCTGTATTGAGGGTAACTCACCAGCCACTGGGATGGTTCCTTGTTGTGAGAGACACAAGAAGAATACTGTCCCCTAGCTGAGGAAGCTTTACATGATAGTTGGTTTGGAAAGAGAAAATGGGATAGAATTGGGACTCTCTGGACACCAGGGTCTGCCTAAAATGGGAAGGAGGTGAGTTAGGGTGCAGCCAGGGAGGCAGTTGCTGGCTTGGGCTCTTCCCGGTTATTCCAGCTCTAAGTTTAATATCCTCTGGAAGGACAGCCTGAATTAAAGGACCCTTCATGCTTGTTGAAAGTCTCTTCCTCTCCTCCTCCTCTCTCTCTGTCTTTCCTTCCTTTGTTTCTTCCTCCTGCTTCTCTTCCTCCTCCTTTTTTTCTCTTTCTTTCTTTCTCTCTTTCTTTCTTTCTTTCTCCCTCTCTCTTTCTTTCTCTCTCTCTTTCTTTCTTTCTCTCTCTTCTTTCTTTCTTTTTTCTCTCTCTCCTTTCTTTCTCTCTCTTTCTTTCTCTCTCTCTTTCTCTTTCTTTCTTTCTTTCTTTCTTTCTTTCTCTCTCTCTCTTTCTCTCTCCTTCCTTCCTTCCTTCCTTCCTTCCTTCCTTCCTTCCTTCCTTCC